CATAATTCGCTCAATATCGGTTTCTATGGTTACTTCACCGACGACACACAAAGGCTGAAATAAGAAAATAATAATGATAAATAAAATAAAAAGTAGGTTTTCGATTTAAAATAAAATAAAAAATACTGAGTCACGTATATTACATTAAATTATTTCGAAAAATGTATGTTGTATTGTCGGATTCAAAGTGTGACAAGTTATGAAAATAAAAATTAAACACTTTAAAAATACTTGCAATAAAATGAAAATCTGGTAATGATGAATGTTTGAAGAAGAAATAAAAAACCAAACCAAAAAGACTTAAGTTATTTATCTACAAAATATCAAACAGACGTTTTAGAAAGCGAAATATTTTCAATGCCGAAATCGTGACGTTGGACAGTGTTAGAGGTCACGTGGAATCAGGTTTTGCTAAAGTTTAAATATTTTACAGTTAACAAGAGTAAAAATAAATAAAATACTCATTTTATGTATTTTAAAATGTTACCGAATATTGTGTAGTATAGAAGAAAGCTGCTCGATTGAGGAAAAAACGTTTGTTTATTTATTTACGTGGACGTTGTATGCGTAATATATTAATGAACAGAACTGAAAGACAAAATTTGTGGTTATTACTAGCACCATGTGTGCCCCTAGTGGCTTAGTGGTACATCTGAAGACTTATAACGCTGAAAATCGGGTTTCGATACCCGCGGTGAATTAAACAAAGCTACAAGCAGTCAATAGGTGCATGGATAATATCAACATCATAATGTCCCACGTTTTTCTATAAGCATACCAACATCAACAGAATTCACAGACTGTTCACACAGAATAAACATCCATTCACAGACTCTTCACACAGAATATACATCCTGTATATTTTTATGTTCCTTTGGTTGTCAGACTTAGTACCTCGTATTCTGCTGGTAGTATAAGAACTTGGTTAACATAACTTATTGTTGTAGGTCGTGTTTATATTATACATCTAAGTTATCATGTGATGTTATTCGTAAACAAGTTGACCTTACATATTTCGGACAGTTTAACATGCACGTACATCATTAGAGGTGAAAACATTCAAATTGTAGTTGAAGAACAATTCTAGACACCTAGCAATTTTTATAATATAATAAAATCAAGTAAGAGAGATAAAGACAACGTAACATTTCACAATACATAAACATGTAGTCGCTTTATACACATAATATTACGGAATTTTAATTATTAGATTTTGTTTTGAATTTTGGTATACGAGGGCTATCTGGGCCAGCCATCCCTAATTTAGAGTGTAAGACTAGAGGGAAAGCAGCTAGTCATCGCCACCCGCTGCCAACTCCTGGGCTACTATTTTACCAACGAATAGTGGGATTGACTGTTACATTATAATGCCCCAACAGCTTAAAGGGCGAGCATGTTTGGTGTGATGGAGATTCGAACCCGCAGATTGCAAGTCGAGCTCCCCGTAACCACCTGGCCTATCAATATAGGACACCACAGCCAAAAACTTATGTAAGATTGGAAATTAGATTTATTTTCACCAAAGTTCAAAAGATTCTATGGTCTATATTTCCAGCTTCGTTTCTTCTAGAAATTGTACTGATCATAACTAGGTCGAAAGTTTTACATTATCGAAATGTAAAAAGTTTACAAACAGACTAAAAGAAATTAAGACTAATCACGAGGATATTTGAGGCTGACTTGTTTAAGGGTCAATTCTTAATGCAATGTTCATTGCCAAAATTCCAATAATTGTGTTGCTTAATTTTGGAAAAAACACGAAAAATCTATCAGTAATGAGTCCTACTTTCAGAGTTGATATTGTGGTTTAAAAAATTATCACTAACTTACTACACTTTAATAAGAAAGTCGTAAAATACGTATTTTAGCCAAATTCAATGTTTTTGTACATGCAATATATATTACATCATCTGCAGGAAGTAATGCTTTATATTTGGTGTGACATCAAAGGAGTAATTCATTTCGAACTCCTCAATCTACAGTGAACTGGCAATGCAGAGATTTATAGTCAGCAACTGGAATGTTTAAATCAAGTCCTTCATCAGATACGCCCTTCACTGGTCAACCAGAAATGATAATGGTTTGCAAAACAAATTATCTTACTACTAACAGAAAATGATATTTTTTAATGAAAGAAATGAAGGTTGTGCCATCTATTGACAGATAACATATCCCTAAAATACGTATGTTTAGCGAAAATTAATGTTTGTGTACTTTTAACTATTGAAATAAATGTATTAAGTCCATTTTTAGATTACTTTGGAGGCCAGTGAAGATGGACTGGTTCCTCCTGGACGGTACATGTACCCCGGAGCGATGGACCGACGTTAAGGGCTCATTTTCAAAACCCACGCTTTCCACCTTCACCCCAACTCACTGTGTGTGCACACAATCATAACCCAAGACCAGGGTCAGAGGATTAATAGGGAGGACACTATACTTCATTCATGTAGCACTTGTAGGCCTTAAGTCCACTGGAGCTCATGTTCCATTATTGTTTCTCCTCAATGGTTAGGCCTGGAAGGTCTTCCTTTCAGGCGCAACAGAAAAGGCTTAGCACTATCAGTAAAGGATCAAATCTTGAACCATTTTTAAATAAACTATTTCTACTTAGTCTGTGGTTACCATAAGAGCCGTGTTCTGAAGCTCCTACAAAAAATATAACCAAACTTAGAAAGATGAACGAATGATAGTTAGTATTAAGTCACAGAAGTGTGTCGTCACATTGGACAGTGACTGTGTCTGTTGAAGTAACTGTAACAAAACTCACGTGATGATTGTCATTTAGAAATAAAACTCGCAAATTTCCATAAAATATAGGTGGTTTAGTTATGGAAGACGGTTCCTCCCTGCCCCATGAAAAGAAACCCCCTGTATATATAATTAGAAAAGTGAAAAACCAACCCGAACGTAAATATAATACATCAAAAATGTGTTACTTTGTAAACTTAAATGTGGGTGTATTATTTTGTTTACAATTCTAAGAGGGTTTCCTATTTTACCTACAAAGTTCCATTGTGTTCTGGGGTTACCTCCTGGTTCAATTTATTCACTTCCTCTAATATACAAATTATTGTAGAATAGCCAATTTTTCCCTACTGGACTTAAGCCTTCTCTTGCTGTAACGATATAGTACAAAAGTTAGTGTGAAAATACACAGTAATGTAATCTTCCTCAAGATGTCAGTCTTAGGATTCATCTGTAAATCACCACTTTTCAACCAAACTGCCACTAAAAGGTCAGATATTTCAACCTGGGTAGTTGAAGACCGTGGGAATTGAAAGTGGCAAGACAATTACGTTTAGGATATATGTACTGCAGGTCTAAAATAACTACCTGTAAGTAAACTAAAAGTAGGAGGTGGGGATAAAATAGAAATTTTCAAGAAGGTTCTTTGGAGATACTAGATATGGTGTGAAAAACCAATATTTGGTAAGGAAGTTCACATCTAGTAGGTGTATGAAAATGCCTAAACCAGCTTGTATACCCTTTCGTTCTGATTCAAATTTTGAAGTATTACTTTGTTTACTACAATAAAACAGAGGGCGTTATATTGTAATTATTTACTAAATCGACCTAAAATAATTGGTAGAACTAATTAATGAATATTTTAAAAATAAAACCTTATATAAATAATTGATGTGCATAGTTTTCTTTAATAGAAAACGCTTGGAAACATACCAAGATTGGTGTAAAATAGTTTGACAATATTTCACTAGATATATTCTGCAGAGATATTCGACGAACTCTCAATATGTTTGCGAAAATTAATAATTTATTTTATTGCAACATTTTGTTCGTGGCGCCATCTGTTGCTATAATCGTTATTTTTAAAAACTTCAAATTATTTGAATTTTCATTTTCCAAGTATTGTGTACCATTTGACGATGCTAGCTGTTCCTCACCTGATTGAAAGTAAATGCTCCATTGTCAACGTTTCAAGCATTTATAGCAAAAGGGGTGTAAGTACTCTAACATTCCATCCTTTCTCTATCGTGGTCTTTTTTTAAATAGTTTCATTCAAATTCACTCACTCCCGCCCCCAATCGTGGTCTTGCTTTTGATTCAGTAATAAATATTGAAGAATTAAATCTATTTTACATTACTTTTGATAAATTAATGTTATCTACATAGATCACAACTAAAAAAATAAAATAACAACCAGGAATTTGTCTTAAATTTAATCTATAATTAATTTTATTTTCTCCTTTACCAGAATATTCTTTTTTTTAAAAAAAGAATTTCATTTTGTAATTATTTTCACTAAAATTTCTTCTTATCATTTTAAATGATTGATATACTTCATTCTATATAGACCATATCTCAAAACCAACCCAATATCCTGTTCTTAATTATATAGATTAAAATGTACTGTTTCAATTATTCGGAACTCTCGCTGTTAGCGACACTTTCGGTCGTAATCCCATATGAGCATGAACGTAGGTAAACTTAATTTAAAGCTTTTGTCAGATGTATTTAGTTCTATTGAACTATCTAGAACCGAAACACGACATTTTGGTTTTCTAATTATAACCGCAATATTTCGTTCTGTAGATGTAATTTCTAATAAAACAATTTTGTTGAATTTTTCTAGTAGGCAACAGGCCTTTCCTATACTATGTCGAAAGGTGCTATAGACCAGTTTATGAGAAGTTCCGAGAGCTTCGTACATTTATTAATATACTCACCTAATATCACATAGGAAAACTAACATTTAATGTAAAAACGAACTAGTAAGTGTAACAATAGCTCATGACAAATAAACAACCTTAGTTTGTTTCTATCTGCTACGTGATTGGGCAGGTGTCAATAAGCTTTGTACAGCGCCCTCCATTCCATCATTAAGCAAGACCAGTAGATTTACACCTATAAGTTGTAATTTGGTACAAGTTTATACAAATAAAACTCAGTCTATAGCTTTACGTAGTATTTTTTACGTTAATAAGACAAAAAGATACATTTTATCACGTGTTCAACTGTCTTTAGATAATTCGTATTTTTCCAGATCTTGCTACCAAGCATGTCCGAGTGAACTCCGTAAAGTAAGCATGGTTTTTTGCCCTATCAATATAACTTATGTCGATAAATACTTTTAGTGTATATGCTTTTGAATGTTTTGATTTATGGCTAAGTTTTAGGCTTGATTTAGGCTTAGCTATAAGAGTAATAAATAATCAAATCACAAAATTTGGTGTTCAGTATATCAGTACTCAATTCGTGCAGAAAGTTTTGATTTAGGGCTAAGTTTTAGGCTTGATTTAGGCTTACCTATAATAGTAATAAATAATCAAATCACAAAATTTGGTGTTTAGTATATAAGTACAAAATTAGTGCAGAATGTTTTGTGTAGTTAGTTTTGCGATAAAATTGTATCAAAACAAAGTAACCCTGTTTTAATATTTATTTTTCTAATTGATCAGTGATAATTTTGAGCTAACTTGAAAGTCTTCTAGAGCTTGAAAAGAACAATTATTTTGTGACGTTAGCCATCTCCTGCTAAATTATCAAAAGTTAAAATTAACACAAATTATGAATGCTTCACAAATTTTGGATTATCTTAATCCCAGTTGAACAAAACCATGATTATCAACGAGATATTATGTTAGTTAATCTGTATTGTTTGAATGAATACGTGGGTGGGAGTGGCTTATTGATTACCGTATTAGTTACTGTTAGAAAGGTCTAAAGTTCGAGACGTGATGCAGGTTAACACGTTCTACACTATCAGCTATGGGTGCGTTAGATAGTAGCAGTCAGTACCGTTTTACAGATGAACGGTTCGGACAGAGCCTTTGTGATGACGTTTACTGCTGGCTATGTGCCTTCAGTCTGGTCAGTATAATAAAATTAGAAAGTTATACCTGGCCATTTAACCTTTGTGCCCAACAAGGTTCTATTCGGGTTGTAATTTCTATTTCTTTATAAAAAAAATGAATTTATGATTTAGCAAATACGTAAAATTTAAAGAATAAAATTTTCTGGCAGTAATATTATAACAGATTTATATTTTACCATATCTATAAATAATAACCCAATAGGATATCCAAATTTATATTATTAATATGTCAAATATTGTTTACAAAAGTTAAATTGTGATGTCAATCAAAGTGTTCGATTCTATATAAATTCCCACAAGTCTCAAAGAACAATTTATATTAATGATAACTAATAACAGAAATCCCATCGATCCTTATTTATATTTTACAGTCCTGGAACTATAGAAACAAACACGTTCTCAACAGTTGGAGCAGACGTAAAGGAAGTACGTGTAAAGTGTATCAATTGTTTTATTATAACTAAAATATGATTTAATTGTTTTTTTTATTCTTGCTTGCGGTGTTTTTGTACTTGAATTCACAAAGTTCATATAATGTATAGCTAATGTTGTGTATTTAATACAGTTAAGTGACTTGTCTAGACCACTCACGTGAGAGGTTAGATAAGTAGAGTTCTGGCCGTACGGGGCGTCTCAATGACTGCGAAGTTAAACGTATTGAACAACACGTGATACCCACTAAATAACTCTAGTACAAAATACATTTTCAGCTAGATAATATGATATAAAATCACAAATTGATCAACTTATCTAGTAAGAGATACCAGATCTAGCGACACCTTCAAAACCTGGGAATATGAAAACTCAACATTGTGACGGTACCGGTAGTCTAACTGATTATAAGTGACTATTCTTAGGTCGAAGTCGTATTGTTTGAAAATAAATTTTAAAAGCTCAATATTGAAGATAATGAGGCCAGAAATGTTCTTTGTTTCAGCAATAAGTTTTTAACGAATTGATAAACCAAGACTCCTGATATAGTTTAGTTGAGAAGATATAAATATGTGTATATGTATAACATTTGATATAAATATCTATGTACTATTTATATATGAGCTATTTTTCACCATTAACCTCATCCCTTTTTCTTCTCCTTTGTCGGTATCTTGATCTGGGACAGTCAATTGTATTTTGACCTCCCGACATATTTAAAAGCAACTAAATTGATTCAAGTTTGTATATATATATTACAGGTCATGGAAGAGCAGACCAAACACAGCCGTTAGAGGTCGCCAGTGCAATCGCTTTTCTCGCTTCTGACGAGGCTTTGTTTATAACTGGAGAAACTTTGGTGATAGATGGCGCTAGAACCGTCTCTTGCTAAGATGTCTTATTTGTTTTTGCAATAATAAACTTTTTACAGAAAATAAAACATTAGTTGCTGATTGTTCCGTTTGATGTGTAGTTATTTGTTTTTTTATATTCATGACGTTAACAGTTGCTGTCAAAATATACAAAACCTGAAATCAAGACAGATATCCCAAAAATGATTCTTTACTTGGTTTTATAAACCTATAATTCAGTATTAACAAGTTAAACTTCTTGCTATGTTTTAACTCATCTAAGTCTACTGTATCCTGTAGTTTTGTTTATATTACCCAAGTCTTATTGCTGTCTCTCCTACTTATGTAACTGGGGAGAAATGACACTTATCTATTTAGCTGTAACATTGTACGTTTACAATGTCTATTGTTTTCTTTTGTTGCAGAACAAAGACATTTCCATTATAATTAGGTCAACATGTATATACAGTAATTTGTTAGAGATATCCCAGAATGGTAACTATACCAAAAATTGTAGGCTTGAATCTAAATTCTCAGTTCAATTCAATACAATAATTTTCTGAATGCATCGTTTAATATTGTATAATAATTAATAGTGTAGTTAAAGTAGTTTCCCTGATTTCCATTAGAGTAATCAGATTATAATAACAGTAACATGCAGAGGAAGTCGTCGTAGCGTATGTCTCTGCCAACTAGAAATTGTTTCTACTGTCTTTTTTTTCGGGCATGAATGTCGTTAGCTTTATCCTTGTTCTCCTTAGAAAGGATGTAACTTTCACGTGGGAATCAAGCTTCATAATGAATGCACAAAACTGGCATTGTAGTTTCTGTCAAGAATCCATTTATTGCAAACAGAGAACCGTTTAAATTATTTAAGGAAGTTTTAAGACTTTTCATGGATTTCGGACATTGGAGAGAAACTGAAGGACATTGAAGGAAGAGTAAATTACTCTCTCCTGGACTCTATGTCATCAGCAGGCTAAGATGTCCTTAACATTAGGAGTTGTGATGGAGTAGATTTATAAGTGTATTTCTTCATTGGGAACAGGGTAAGGTACCTGCTCTTGGGAGGTAGCTCATCCGTCAGCTCTGGATGACCCACGGATTTTCTATGATCCGTGGTCACCATGGCAGCATGTCTCCCATAACAGAAAGGCTCACTGCTGCACCATAAATGACAACCTTCACCAGTCCGTGGCCACTATCTCACTTACTGGCAAAACATCTCCTGTTTATCTTGACCTGTCATGGTGGATCGATGAAATCCAGGGATGGACAAATCTGGTCACTACGTGTCTGGAAGACACCATCCAGTCTTCTACTTTCCAGACTGCACATCACCATGATGATCTGACAGACATTTGCACTTTCTTTGCGCTGAAGTAAACCTATTTAGCTATTCTGAATGTACCAGATCCAGACAGTTCCCCTTTCGGGCTGTTTTGAAAGCTGGACACAAGTTAGATACAGTGAAACAATCTTTATCTCAAACATTCAAAAATCGATAGACACAAACAAATGTATTCGTCTGGCACTCTTACTTGAGATTTCAAATATCAGCAAATCTACCTCTAACAGTACTTAGTCATACTGTCCCAGGCTGAGGAAATGTGTCATTATTTCCAAGAAACAGCAGCGTCATTATACTCTGGGTGGAGTTGCTTACCACGTAACTGATGATTACTCTAATACAAAAAACGGATACAATATCCGTGACTTAATAGTGTAAAATATTCACTGTCAGTTTCTATAAAGTATATGTTTCCCTACAGAAATATGTTCAGCAGGAACACACAAGTGATACCCTAGTTGAATGACCCGATTTAGAAAGTAACTAGGGTGAAAAGAACTTAGTGAGTAGCTTGAACGATACTTTGGATTAAGTCAGCATAGAAAATATGTAGAGTTTTGAAGTAATTTATATTAAATTGTTTGTTTTGAATTTCACACAAAGCTACACGAGGGCTATCTGCGCTAGCCGTCCCTAATTTAGCAGTGTAAGACTAGAGGGAAGGCAGCTAGTCATCACCGCCCACCGCCAATTCTTGAGCTACTCTTTTACCAAAGAATAGTGGGATTGACCGTCACATTATGACGCCCCCACGGCTGAAAGGGCGAGCATGTTTGGTGTGACGGGGATTCGAACCCGCGATCCTCAGATTGCGAGTCGAGCGCCGTAACCACCTGTACATGCCGGGCCAATTTATATTAAATAAGATGGTATGAAACATGTATCCTTGATAATACAAGGATCAGCAAGAATTTTTAATAGAAGTGTCAAAAAGTGTCTTATAACAAAATATATAAAACTATGTTAATTTCTATGAGCAATTCACAAATTCATTTATCATATTTTTTAACATATCAAAACATTGCATGATCTTATGATGAATGTAAAGATTGATTACTCTAATAATCATTATTTTAAAATACAATTCTGTAAGTTTCACCTGTTAACTTATTGGTAGTTCTTTCTATGAAAATAAGTTAAGTTTTTAAAAACTGTCTAAGATGATAATTATTTAAAGTATTCCATTCTTTTCAGAAAAGTATCTTAACCCTAAAAAATATAAAAATACCGGGTTCTCATTGACCAAGTAGTCTTATATTATTGAACAACTTTGTTGCTTTATTGAGTCTAGACTTTAAGAAATATACTGTGTAAGTTAATATAGCTAAACAGACACCGATATTCGAGGTTGAACTTTGAGTTTAAACCAATTAGAAGCTGAGTATTTATAATGCATACTAAAGAGTTTTTGTCATATTCAAGTAATTACACATGACTATACTTTATAAAGTAAAACTTGTTTTCTTTTAGATACGTGTCTTAAAAGAGAAACCACTTCATACATCAATTACATCATGTCCTAATGAGGCTGTAACAGTGAAATTTTGAGAAACAAAACTGGAGTAAAGCTTTATTTAACTCTGTCGGGAAGAACGTAGATATAACATACCAATAAAAGGGTTAATATTATAATCATCAGATTCAGAGAACTTTCTGGGATGTTAAAGAACTGGTCGTTTTAATGACCAATTGTGTACACAAAATATTTACTTGATCTTTTCTTTATCTTTACTTCTTCAACACTCTTATTTTCTTAAATTTCAAGTGGCTCCTCCATGGAGTTTTATATCCTCACTAGGTCCTTTTATTCCTTCACTTCCTTGAAACCAAGATACTATTATATATGTGAATTATAAAAGTTATATCCCAAATATCTTATACTTCTTTCAGTATTCTGTCCTTAGCAAGTCTGATCTTGAGATTACACTTGTCACTAGTTATACTCAAGAACCACGTTCGTGCAATCTAATAAGAATGTGTGTTTATATTACTCGTTTATAACCTTCGTTTTTCCCAACTCGAAAATGTCTTTAATATGAGTATTGAAAAACATGCACATTATAAACCTATAATGTTAGTTAACTTCTAATAATATTTCTGTATTGTGTGTGCATAATATTAACTTTTTACACTTTATGTGTAGCTCTTTCAGACACGTCATTTGAAATATACAAACATATTGTGTTCACTTGGAGGTATTTGTTTTATATTATGTTATTCAACACATCAAAACCTATATATTTAATGTAACTATAGCAACGCTCTAGCCACCACAACATGTATTTTCTTTCGTCTAAATGAAGGAACTCAATGGTATGAAAGTTAAAGTTTCTCTAACAGGGAATCCCCGGACTACCAAATATGCTAATCTTTTCAGCCGTGGGGACGTTATAATGTGACGGCCAATCTCACTATTGTCTGGTAGAAGAGTAGCCCTATAGTTGGCGGTGGGTTGTGGTGTCTAGCTGCCTTCCCTCTAGTATTTCACTGCTAACTCAGAGACGGCTAATGCAGATGGCCCTCGTGTAGCTTCGCGTGAAATCAGTAGAGGGAGTTAAACTCCTACTCCACCATCAGAACAGGAAATATGTAGGTTGAGACTGGAAGAAAACCTTACAGGGAGATTAAATACAGCTCCACCATCAGGACAGAAAATATGTAGGTTGAGACAGGATAAAACCTTACAGGGAGTTTAATTCCAGCTCCACCAACAGGACAGGAAATATGTAGGTTGAGACATGATAAAACCTTACAGGGAGTTTAATTCCAGCTACACCATCAGGACAGAAAATATGTAGGTTGAGACAGGATAAAACCTTGTAGGGAGTTTAACTCCAGTTACACCATTAGAACATTCTAAATGTAGGTTGAGACAGGACGAAACACCACAGTAAGTTTAAC